TTTTTTTTTTTTTTTTTTTTTTTTTTTTTTTTTTTTTTTTTTTTTTTTTTTTTTTATATATATATAGAAAACTTTAAAAACGATCAACTAAATACCAGTGCCAATTTCTTTTAATTCGAATCTATCATAAACAACAGACCCTTAATTCAATTTAGTGGCGCGGAATGTTAATTAATTAACTCTCCTCTGTTCCTTCTCTCACGTGAGAAAACCTATTCTATTTAATACCCCTTGCAGTTTTTGACAATAAGTGAAAGGCAAAAATGGCGTGGCCATTTTAACTACTCCCTTGTTTTTCACCCACCTAACCTAAACTCAACCCAAATACCTGAATGCCTTCTCATAAAATGTGTGTGTGTGTGTGTGTGTCAAATAAAATGTATAATAGTATATTATGAATAAAAGACTGATTATGACAAGAGAAACCAGACAAGGAAGGCTTACCTAAACGCCACAATTCAGAAAACATCTTGATTGGTAGACATGTGGCTCAATTTTTGAACTGAGACCCAACAAACATATTCACAGTTAGTGTTGCATCACATGCACATGGAATCATATTCATACCCCCCATGTGCCACCAAAATTACCCTCCTACTCACACTAACAAAATCTTAAGGCTCACTCAGCTAAGAGAACTGAAGACACGAGATTTACCTATTATTTATCTTAGATTCTTCTACAGTTGTTCTTCTCCTTTTAATTTTTAGAATTAATGCAGATGTTGTATGAAAAGGAAATTAGATATGACGGGAAATTCAAACGTGGACATCTATCTCTATCAAACCTTGCAGATGATGCAGGTAAAATGCAAGGGCTTAGTACCTAAAAATACTTGCAGGAATCAAGCAGCCCATCTAAAATTGAAGACTGAAACACTATGCGTTATATTGTAGTACAAATGATCTGAATTTTCCAACTGAAAGAAGCTTAACTAAAGGTACTAAAAAAAACGAAATTAACCAAAAAAAAAAAAAAAAGGGAGGGGAACATGGGGGATTTTATGAATCAAGGACAAAGTGGGATTCCAGACATTTTTTGGGCTCAATGTAAGAGCAGAGATATGGCATGTAGTGCTGCTAATAAGGCTGATAGAAGAAGAAGCGCACTTGAAGAGCAAGGCAGGGGGGGTTTAGGCGCTGCGAAGGAAGCTGGCAGGCCGAATGGGGAAAGGGCAGAGGGATCAGGAGCAGGCGCTTCGAACTCGTCTGGATTTGGAGGGCTGGGGTTTGAGGGAATGGTGGGAATGGAACCAGTTGCAGAAGGAATCTGATCGCCTGTCGAAGGCAGCAATGGAGCAATTTCAGGGGAGAGTTCTTGGAAAGGGGAACTGGTAGTGGTGGAGGTCAAAAATGGTAAAGCAAGCAAAGGTGTGGCCATGAAAGCCGTAATGAGTGCTGAACAATACCAAAAGCAGGCCATTCAAATGATGATGAAATCAGTGCTCTCTCCTCTAACTCGAGGGCGTGGTAGTGTAATATATTTGTAATATCGAGGGGGATGGGGGGGTATATATTATTTTAGTTTTTTTTTATTGTCTTGATTTTTAAATTATTTTTAACCCTTGCCTTTACTGATCTGCCGAGACTGGAGAGGATGATGGTTTTAGGGGACATTTGTTTGAAATTATGACGTGGGACCTTTGAAATGGAAGAATGGAGGAGCCAGGTAGGCCAAATTCCACGTGGCGGGTAGTAAGTGGATGTTGTGGAGGGAATACAGGGTGTAATGTTTGGGGATGGGACAAAAGATTGAACTTTTATGCTGCAGCTTGTTTGGTAGCTGACGATTCCTCTATAACCCGTGATATAGGTTCTCCTTAATTTACGATGATTCAGATCCTAAAGTCCAGCCTAATTGATCACAACTCAATTTTACCAAACTATAAATTTCACTCATCACCCTAATTACTACGCTCTCTCTGTTCTAATTACTCGAATTCCAATGATTAATCCCATTTCTCAAACTTGTTGAGCCGAATCAGCAGATAATGTGGAGGGATTTTTTGCTCCGGAAGAAAACAATTGACCTAATTTGTTTTGAAAGGGCTTCTTTAGAGTGAACAAAGGGACATGGGAAGATCAAGGAAATAGATGCACAGAAGTATTACCAAATTGATACTGATAAAATGTTAGGTGAGGATTCATTGGAAATGCCAAACAAAAGTTGAGTTTGCATTTGCATTTTCAGAGGGTACCGAACAAAATTCCAAACATAGGGATGATATGTTTAGGATTTTAATTTTGTCGAACTCAGTGAGAATTTATTGTAGTAAGTACATTGTATGGAGGGAAGAAAGTTGAAGAAGATCGCTATCAGATGGAATGCTTTATGTAGTTCTTATAAAACTCAGTAAGAATTAAAATATACTCAACAAGAACGTTAGGATTTCTGTAAGATTTTTTTGGCATTTTGAGCAACTTGATGCAAATAACATATTCCTCAACGGTGATCTTTTGTTAGGAGGTTATGTGGATCTATTCCCAAGTTTTCCACTAGTCATGAGGGAATCCGTCCAAATGAGCTTTTATAGGACAATCACTTGACTATTGTATTTGGTTATGAGAAACATCTAGAATATTAGACTCTAAGAACGTTAATCAAACTCATTTCTCTCTAATCCCATTTTTTCTTGGCTTTTATTGGTCAGTAGGCAGACCATGATGTAAACTATTGATTTTTATGGTTCTTACATCAATATATGATTTTCAGTCTAGGCACATTAGAGTTCCAATTACTCTTAATTACTAATTCAAAAGTCGATAATTGAATCACTATCTTACTAGAAGAAAAAGAATTTAAAATAACTAAGGGTTATCTTTGGTGCTACTTTTGTTCCTGGTTTTCAACAATTTGTGAACCTAACATTCCTTTGTCACCAAGGTGCTTAGGATCTTTCTCTCAAAAAGTATAACTAGTCTACGCCATTGATATTTTAATTACTGAATTGATGCGAGTGGTCCTAATCATTGGAAGTTTTTTAAAATAGGCCGCTCAAGTTTAAAGATCTTGGAAGCTTGACATTTTTTCGGGTATAGAGATTTGATCTCATAGAGGTACATATCTTTCTAAACGTTATTAGACTTTTCAACTACTTGATTCTGTTTAAGATATGTTTTTGGCAATAGTCCTCATTAAATCTTAAGATTTTGGTAAAGTTCTTTCGATTTATCTTAGAGAGTCAACTCAACATATTTTTATTTACTTCTAGATAGACTAGCAAAACCACCCAATGTGAATAACCATGGAGTCTTAGTTTCACTCATAACATTACATCTATTAAATACACAGATCTAAAGACAAAAGGTCATTCTGTTCTGCTCTACGAATTATTTAAATTCTAGATATATAATACATAAAACTAGTGTTTAATTAAGTAGGTTCGTTTATCTAATCATTAAAATTAAGATTAATTAATTATAGATGGTGTGTATGGATTCACACCTAGCATAAAACGTGTGACCTCCACCGAGTCAAATAAAAAAGAATGGATGCATGGATGTTGGATTCTCAAAATAGAAACGTATAACGAGATCTAGATTGTTCTGAAAATATCAAAATAATTCTAGCGCTAGCGCATTTTCCTGCTTAACAAAAATATTTATGTCCGGTAATGAGAAGATAGAGTTGTAGAAGTACCTGACGCCTTATGCCAGAATATCTTAGCTCATAAAGTCTCCTCCAACAAAGTGCAATACGAGGACCAAAACTGACCAAATTTGAGTAGGTGTTCCTCCCTGGTAAAAGCAGTATTAGCGGAATTCAAACAGGGAATTATGCTTCATAAACTTGAGGAGTGTTGTTGAGAAGTCAATTGAAGAAATTAATAATTGCAACCTACTTCAATCGAATGTGAGCTCTTAGATGATCCAACAGGAGAAATTATGAAATAGAAAATGTTAAAAGTAAATGAACTTTAAGCACGATCTGGTCATTCTAGGGATCCAAAATCCTAACCTGCAATCAGTGAAGAATGAGCTTACTGTCAGCTCGAGAAGCACGAGATAATCTCGCAGAAACCTCAATCCCGTTCGAAATCCAGCGTAGATATAATGCAAAACCAAAAGTTCAACTAGTCAGAGATTGATTAGATGCAGCAGTCTCTTTGGGAGATTACTTTTTCGAGGTTTAGATACATACGCCTCGGACCAAACTGAGAGTTCCTTCTTCACACATTAAGTGAGTTCTACTCACTTGCTTCGAGCAGAATCTTGATCATCTGCCATATATCAACGCCTTGAGTTACTGGTTACTCAATCCTCTATTTTATTCCACGGTACGAAGTGTACGAAATCACTATTCGATACAGCATATCAAAAGTAGTGTTAGTGATAACCAGAAAATCAGCCAGGTACAACAGAGAAATTAGCGGATAGGCTGAATAAAGATCAGAAAACTTTACTGAGTCACTTGTAAGATTACATGACGAACCGAATCCTAGTAGTTCATGAAGTCTCCAATAATGTATTCCAAAACTGACCGTGTTTGAGCAGATGTTTCCTCCCTGATTAAACTTAGGCAGTATTGGCGGAAAACAAAACGGAAATTATCTGACGTAAACCTTGGAAGAAAATGATGTTTCTAAAACACTTCAATCGAGAATGAGCTTTTTAGATGATCCAGCAGCATAAACTGTAAAATAGAAACACTTAAATGTAAAAGAAAATTGAGCTCAATCTGGTTATCTAAGGAATCAAGAACCTAAACTGCGATCAGTGAAGAATGAGCATACAGCCGATTCGTTAAGCACAACATATTCCCGCAGAAACCTCAATCTCGTAAAACTCCAGCTTAGATATACTGCCAAATTAAATTTCAACTAGTCAGAAATTGAATAGATGCAGCAACCTCTAATGGTGATTGTTTTTTCGAATTTTCAGCTACATACGCCTCGAAACTGTTGGTTTGCTTCGTACAGAATCTCGATCATCTTCTATACAGCGGCGCGCGTAATAGCCAATTACTCGATCGCCTTCTTCCTTCCACTGTCAAGAGTCTACAAAAGCAGAATCTGGAATATCGAAACTATCGCTGTCAATGATTGGAACAATTAACAGAATACAACAGAGAAATTTACAGATTGACGAAAAATACTGCTGCAAATACGTTATCGAGAAATTTCAGCCGCCAACGGAACTTACAGAAATGTTATACTCACTCCACACTACTTCTCTTCGCTTTGCCGAGATTCAAAATGGAGAGGTCCACGATTTGTGCAGATACACCGAAGCGATGGAAGACGACGAATGAAAAGCTTCATAAATCGTTATTCGGATGCAGGGAGAAATGAAGAACGAAAAGATGTGATTAGAGTTTAACGCGCGAGAATGCTGGCCATTCGGTATAATAAAATATTGGTTTATAATTATAACATTTTAGTTTATAATTCCAGAAAGAAAAAAATTTAATTAATTATTAATTATAACATTTTAGAAATTAGACCACGAAATTATATAATTATAACATTTTATAATTATAACATTTTGATTTGTTAAAAATTATTTTGCAAAAATGATAGATGAAAAACCATAGATATCCAATTTTAAATAATAATAATAATAAATGGACTAAATTAATAAAAATACCCCTAAATTTTCTATTTTTCTCGTTTGGGCCTTAAAAATTCAAATTTTTATCACGGATACATCGTTATTGGTTTGGTGTGAAAAGATCTTTCAATTTTATTTTAAAATAAAAAAATATATTTGTTTTAAAAATAGTGGTGAAAATCTCAAATTTCTTAAATCTTATTTTTTAAACATATATTTTTGAATAAAATGCTTTTGAAGTTTTTAAAATAGTTTAAAGTTATTATTGAAATTTTTTATTGTACTCGACATTTTGTTATTTTTAAAAGATATATTTTTTTTTAATTTTATAAAAATTTAATGATATTTGTTAGATTTTTCTCTTAAAATTAAGAGTATTATTAAAACTTTTCAAAGTTTAATGGTATCGTTGAAAGTTTTATTAAAGTTTTGAAAACTTAATGTTGTTGGTGCGGGTTGTTAAAGTTGAAATATTATTGAAACTTTTGAAAGTTTGATAATTTTTTAGTGCAAAAATTGAAGGTATTTTTATTAATTTAGTCAGATAAAATTTTCATAATATTATGGACTAATTTAAAATTTATTTTGATTATCATATAATTGTTAGGAATACGTGAATAATTGAAAATTTGATCACTACAATTTGAAAAAAAATAATAATACAAATTTAATTTTTGAATTTTTAAAGGTAAGAATTGGTTTTTATAGGTCAATAAAACTATTCTAGTTCATTTTATTATGAAATTTTATTGAATAATAGATTCAAATTTATAACTTAACGTTTTAAATCATAGAAACTAAACGAATATCAAAATTGTAATTTAACCTAGTTTTGGATAGTTTTGTCAATGTCCATGTAACACGCTCCAAACTGACAGAGATTTCACATTTAGACGTAAATGGAGAGAAATTTCTCCCTTCAATAAATGAGGTCGAAGATGGAGATTATATTCCTTTATCTCCCTCCCCTCTTAATTCACCTACATGTCTCCGCCTCTCTTAATATAAATATATTTTCGAAAGAGACCTTCTAAATTTGAGGTAAAACTTTATAAATTACCATTTGGATTAGACTTGTCGTTTTTGTTTTAGAAATTGTTTTCACCATTTATGTGATTTTTGTAATAACTAATAATTTTGACATCTAGATTAATTTTTTTTTTTTTTTTTTTGCTAATTTGAATATTTTTATTTTATATCATTGGAGTTATTTTGCTTTCGCATTAATCATTATTATTGATTCAATTATTAACTTATTAATCGGAACAAAAAAATCAATTTTTCTTATATTTGAAATTCATATTATTAAATCTTGTTCTCGGCATCTAGACATAATTAGTTTTATATTAAAATGATTTGATCAATAAATAATAATGTATAAAAAGTCAAAAGTATATATTATTATTTTTAAATGATTTTTTTTTCTAAGAATAATAACATAGATTTTTTTTTTTTTAATAACCTGATATTCCATATCCACCCACCCTAATGCCTTAATTATTATGCTCGAAATTAGTTTAATTTTTGAAAAGAAAATACTTTTAACTTAATATACTAGGTGAAGGGATTATATTTTAATTAATTGAATGAAGGGATTATATTTTAATTAATTGAATTACACGGTGAAAATTTTATAAATACACTTTATTTTAATATTAATAATAAAAACATAACTAAAACATTTTAAAATTATTAAATTAACATTATTTTATTTAAGGATTAAATTATAAAATTATTTAAAAAAATATTTAAACGCTTATAAATTTAGTAGATTATTAACTAAGGCGTATTGATTCAAATTTTTTTTATGATAGAGTAATTAATGAAATATAAAATTGGATTGGAAGCCATTAAAAAAATTATTAGAAACAAAATTAAACTTAATTTAATTTAATTTAATGAAATATAAAATTGGATTTTAAGCAATTAAAAAAAGTTATTAGAAACAAAATTAAATTAAATTAAATTAAATTAAATGACTAAATTAAATTAGAATAGCAGGTGATAGAATTATTACAGTATATTTTTGTATCGAATCTCAACCAACCTCCCTCACTCCACCATTTTCAAAATTCACGAAAGAAATCCATTCATTCACCACAAATCGCTCTGATTTTCTTCCGATGCTCAAACATTGCGACCGTGAACTCTCAACTCTGTGTTTTTGTTGCTTTTCAGCCGTCAATAAGCACCAGTAAGCACCCATTTTATTTTATTCTTCTTCCTTGAAATTTCTATATATGAAAATGTTTGGGGGATTTGAATCTCCTCATCGAATCGTCGTCTTCAAATTTCTGCAGATTTGGAGGTTATGTTCTGTTTTGGATTTGTACTTTTTAACTGAAATGGATTCAATGGCGTTTTTTAAGTTTATTTGTTTTTTAAATGCGGGTTTTACCTAATTCTGGTTGAGTTAGGGTTTTACTGCGTCGGTTGTGATGAGAGTTTGGTAGCCGAAATGGAGTTTGATCCTTTTGACGGATTTTGCGATTGAGGCGTGAAAATGTTTATTACATTTGTCACCATATCAAGAGCTCCGAGCTTTAATGTTGTTTCCAAGCATTCCTGTTTTACTCTTATGGAGTAATGGTTGTTTTTGTAGAACAGATTGCGGAAGTGAATGGGTTTATTTACTCAATGTCAAGGTCTTGATGATGGGCAGCACCTCTTCCTACAATCTGCATTTTATTTTATAGTACTTTTTAATTTTTGTTAATTTTTTTGAATCCTATGGTGGCTACCTAACTAGGATATAAAGTTTCGTTGATAACAACATTAGTTGTTTGTGTTCGCACATCGCGTTGTTCGTATTTTACGAGACAACTGTCCAACCCAACTACATTTGTTTATCGTGTATCGCTTATAATTCTAAGATTTTAAGAGTTGGGCATGGTCTTTTGTAATTTGGTGGCAATGGGAAGAGTGAGTTAGACAAGAATTAGTTGCATAGTTTGGGAGAGGATCAAACCTCTTGATAGTTTGATAAACATGCATACATCTAGTCACATCACTATTGAGTAGCGATTCTCGAAACAGAAGGAGTTTTATATTTGTACCCATCTCTTCACATGACCAATAGAGTACAACTTAAAGGTTGAAGGTTCAAATCCCCCTCCGTTTTGTAACATTATCATAGTTTCTGTAACAGCCCAAGCCCACCGCTAGCAGATATTGTTCTCTTTGGACTTTTCCTTTTGGGCTTACCCTCAAAGTTTTTAAAATGCGTCTGTTAAGGAGAGGTTTACTCACCTTTATAAAGGGTGTTTTGTTCTCCTTCCCAACCGATGTGAACTCCATCGAAATTAGCTTAATACAAGTTGATGGAGAGTCGGAAGTCGATTAGAATTTTGATGGAGTTCAATTTTTCCCATGGGAATTGTTTAGAGACCTATGTTTAGGACGATTATCGGGACGGGGAGAATCCCCTTTGCTTCATATTTCCCATTTTTAATGTCTTTATGATATGAGGTCATTTGTGGCTTCCGTTTTGTTGCCCTCATGTAATTCTTAATCATTTTGCATTTCCATTGTTTGATTAGGTGAATACTCGGAATAATTTGTCCCTCAAATTGATTTGCATGCTTATAAAGATTTGAACAGCTCTCCACTAGGTATTATCTCTTTATCTGTCTGATTTTCCATGTGTTTAAAATTTATTAATTGGTTTAACTCGTGTGAAATTGTAGCAATGATCTTGATTTGAATCTGTTGTGCTTTGGGCATGGTTTGGAAGCCTCGGTAACTTTGCACGGAGAATAATTCAAGCATTGTGCTGTTATGTAAAAGTTGATTTGCGTTACATATCCTGTATTCGAGTCATCTGAGTGAGGCCAATCGTTATACGAGTTATGAGTTGCAACAAAGATGAAGCCGTTAGAGCAATGGAGATTGCTGAGAAGAAGATGGAAATCAAAGATTTCATCGGGGCTCGTAAGTTAGCTCTCCGGGCTCAACAGCTAAATCCTGATGGGGAGAACATTTCACAAATGCTTATGGTTTGTGATGTGCATTGTGCGGCAGAGAAGAAACTGTCTGGGAATGAGATGGATTGGTACGGTATTCTTCAGATCGAGCAAACGGCAAATGAGGCGACAATTAGGAAGCAGTACCGGAAGTATGCTCTTCTACTTCATCCCGACAAAAACAAATTTATGGGTGCTGAAGCTGCTTTCAAGTTGGTTGGTGAAGCTCAGAGAATTTTGTTGGACCAAGAGAAACGTCAATTGCATGATATGAGACGAAAACTGACAGTATCGCATCGAGCTCCACACAAAGCTGCTTCAACCTTTGATGTTGGGGTTCAAGCTAACTTCAGAAACAACTTTACAAGATTCATTCCTCAACATCAGCCCCCTCAACAGCATGGACACTCGGGGTTCGGTCATAATCATGCTACTTTTTGGACTGTCTGTCCATTTTGTTCAGTGAGGTATCACTACTATAAAGAAGTGGTTAATAGATCACTTTGCTGTCAGAATTGCAAGAATCCCTTTGTTGCATATGATATGGAACTTCAAGGATCTCACTCTCAACCCACGTATAACTTCAACCAGTCATCATTTTTCCAGAAGAAGAATTTCTTCAGTCACAGGGCGGAGACGGGACGCCCCAGAAACTCTCGGTCTGAGAAGTATAGAGCAGAATCTTTTCAGAGGACACGCAAAACTTCAGGTGGTGCTGTGGGAAAGTTCAATACTAAGAAAAAAAGGAAGCAGAGTTCCGAATCCAGTGACAGCTGTGATACTGGAAGTAGCTCCGAGTCTGAAGAGAACGTCATTACTGATGAAGTTAGCAGAAAGGATGTTGGACGCACTGGTGAGCATCGTCCACGAAGATCAAGTCGACACAAGCAAAAGATTTCTTACAGTGAGAATATAAGTGACGACGACGACGACTTTGAGATCACACCAAAAAAATCAAGCAGAAGAGTACCATCCGACACTTCGGATGACGACATTGAAGAAGTATATGTGGATGATAGGTCTGTTGATGTGGATAATGATCAGAGGGAAACAAATGAGCCAGAAAATAGTCGCACTGAAGGGAGTTCATCACGGAGAAGCACGAGAAGTAAGAAGGCGAGCGAAAAAGAAACAGCAGATAAGAATGTTCCTCAGAGAAGAATGAAGTCAGCTGGTGATCCCGAGCCTAAATTGCTCGAACGTCATGATCCTGATTTCAATGATTTTGATAAACTGCGTAATCGGGACTGTTTTTCTCCCGGGCAGATCTGGGCTATGTATCGTGATATTGATACCATGCCTCGATTTTATGCTCGGATCGATAGAGCATTTCCTTCAGAATTCAAGATTCAAGTCACTTGGCTAGAGCCAGAAGCAACTGATAAGAAAATGCCAATTTCCTGCGGTGATTTTGTATTTGGAGCAACTGAAACCATGACAGATTGTGGTTCGATGTTTTCTCATGCTGTTTCTTGGGACAAAGGCGGCCGTAAAGACAGTTTCAAGATTTTTCCAAGAAGAGGGGAAACTTGGGCTCTCTTCAAGAACTGGGATAAGAATAGTCAATGTGATTCCAATAGCAAAGCCGAATATGAGTTTGTCGAGACATTATCGGAATATACCGAAGAAGCTGGTATTGACGTTGCACTCTTAGCTAAAGTGAAGGGGTTTTCGAGTCTCTTTGGTCAAATGGTCGATCAAGAAGGAAAATCATTTCGAATCCCTGCAGATGAATTGTTCAGATTTTCGCACAGGATACCTTCGTTTCCACTCACAGGTGACGAACGAGAGGATGTTCCAAAAGGTTCTTTCGAACTCGATCCAGCTGCTCTTCCCCCCAATATTCCAGAGATCGCCATCCCCGAGCATTTGAAAGAGATGGCTGGCGATACTGGTCACGACACATTGAAGCCCACGAGGCGGCCTAAATGCAGGGAGGCTACTGCTGATGTTAAGAGTGATCTCTCATCTGAGAGCAATGATGATTGCGCACATGTAGCCTCGTCGGGTGAGGCTTACGAAATTCCAGATCCTGAATTTCACAACTTCGACGTCGACAAATCTTTTGACAAGTTTAAGATTAATCAAGTCTGGGCACTGTACAGCGACGAGGATGCTTTGCCTAGATATTATGGTCTGATCAGGAAGATAACCCGGGAACCGAAGTTCGAAGTGAAGTTGATGTGGCTCGAGCCCTCTGCACTGCCAAGTGACGCTATCGAATGGGACGACAAAGATATGCTGATTTCTTGTGGGAAATTTAGACCTCAGAGGAGGACTAGCATGCACTGCTGCAATTCCACTGGCTCCTTTTCACATCTGGTTAAAACTAATTCTTCTTCAAAGAATGAGATTTCCATCTCTCCTAGAAATGGTGAAGTTTGGGCATTGTATAAGAACTGGACTCCAGAATTCAGATGTTCAGATTTGGATAAACGTGTATATGATATAGCAGAAGTCATTGACGAGGACGATTTGCAAAAGGAAGTTATGGTCTTGGAACGTGTGGATGGTTATAACTCGGTCTTCAAGGCTCGAGCCAAAAACGATGGCTCAATGCTCACTATGGTAATCACCCAGGCCGAGCTTCTACGATTCTCCCATCAGATTCCTGCTTTTCGGTTGACAGATGAGCGGGGTGGTAGCTTGAGAGGTTGCTTGGAACTTGATCCCGCTGCTTTACCGGTATATTTTTTTTCTTGACTCGGTTTCGGCTAAAACGCTGTAGGCCACAATTCCTAATAACCCCAACTGAGCCATCGTGCCGAAAACCAAACCGTTTTCGGTGAAGCCTTGGCAAACCGAAGCTCATGTAGATGAGGTCTGAGGAGTATTCACACTGGAAACACCATGTTTCTTATGTTTCACTTCAAAGGACGTGCCTGGATCTTATCTTGAGCTGTCTGGCTTTGGGAGAAAGCTCGTAATATTGGGTTTGTGCAAAATTTTTCATTTTATTGTTGAGAATTACCCTTGATTTTGGTGTATGTAGCTAGCTAGACTCATTTTTGTAAGGAAAAGATGAATTTCTTCATCCATGAGATGAAATGGTCTGTCTTTTTTTGTTTTTTTTTTTTTTGTCTTTTGGGTGAGATCCCACGCTGATGTGAAAGGGGAGCGAAATATTTCTCGTAATAGTGGAAACCTCTTCTTAATAGACACGTTTTAAAATTGTGAGGTTGACGATACGTAATGGACCAAAACTGATAATATCTACTAGTGGAGGGCTTATACTGTTACAAATGGTATCAAGCTAGACATCGAGTGGTGTGCCTGCGAGGACATTTGTCTCCCAAGGGAGGGCTTGGGAGGGGAACGAAACATTCCTCACAAGAGTGTGGAACCCCCTCCTTAGTAAACACGTTTTAAAACTATGGACAATATTTTTTAGCGGTGGGCTTAGGCTGTTGCAAATGGTATCAGAGCTAGACATCGGACGGTATGCTAGTAAGAACGTTGAAACCCAAGGGGGTGGATTGTGTGAGATCTCACATCGATCGGAAAGAAGAACGAAACATTCCTCATAAAGCAAGGACGTTGGCCCTCAAGGGGGTGAATTGTGAGATCTCACATAGGTTGGAGAGGAGAATGAAAACATTCCCCATAAATCAAGGACGGGTAGATTGTGAGATCTCTCATCGGTTGGAAAGGACGAAACATTTCAAGGACTCTAGGGGTGGATTTGGAAAAAAGACTAAACATTCCTCATAAGGGCGTGTAAACTTCTATCTAGTATATGCATTTTAAAATCGTGAAGTTGATGACTATATATAAACATACCATATTTGCTGGTGGTAGATTTGGCTATTACATTTTTCTTCCCTAAATTTATATCTAATTATTTTTTAATTTAAAATTGAATTAAACTGTCTTTATTTATCATTTTTTTTTTATATTCAGAGAAATCATATTATGTTGATAAAAAAGTAATGTTTCTAAAATATTGTAAATTATCTTTTATTTAATTATTATACTTTTATATCTATTTCTATATGTTTATATTAGTCTTTATATCTTATAGTATATATATTTTTTACAATAATATTTATATATTTTATCAATATTAATAAGCGACCTTAAATATAACATAAATACGGATATTTTTATTGAGGAATTGAGATGAATAAATAAAAATTTTAAAAGATATTAAAAAACGGAAATAAATTTAATTTTTTAAACAAAAAAAAATAGACAGCTGTCGACTACCTCTATAGTATAGGGAAGAGTAACGGGTCGCTGACTAGGACCGATGAATCCCACGACCCACAGCTTTCGGTATATTTTTGTAATTAAAAAAGAAAAGGAAAATTACCTTTTTCATTTTGGAACTTTCTTCTGTTCGGTGAAAGCCCGCCGCCGAGATCAGATTTAATACTCTCACTCTATTCTTCCCTCCAAAACCCTCACACTCCCTTTCCTCTTCCCGCCATTTCTTTCCCATTCTATTCCTTTTCCCCTTAATCCCTCTTCCGATTAGCTAAACCGGCGCCGGCAAACTAAGCCGGCTTCGCTCCGTCGGCGATTTCTATTTGCTGCAGAAGAATTGAAAATGGCTCCATTTGGAGGCGATCGCGAGGACATTGATTGTACCGACACCGAAGTCTTTGATGGCCATCTTTCACCGCCCTCATGTTCTGGTAAATGGCTTTGATTTCTGTATTATTTTCTTTTGGTGAAAGATTTGTTTTGATTGATGTTTTACACATCGAGTTTTGAATGTTTTCATAATCTAAGCCAAGCTTTGACAATTGGAAGTAGTTTTTGTTTTTTGATTTTGAGTAAGATTTCAAATATCTCTGCAAGAAAATGAAGATCATTGTAAAGAAATGGTGAGAAAACGGGACTTCATGATTGGATTTTCATATTTCCATGGCTTGATTTTAAGTATGGGATGAGTTTTGTCCTTCATTAAATACAAATTGGTTTCCTGTAATGCATAGTGATTATGCTGTTTGTGACTAGACATATTACAACTTCACTTTGATTTATCTTGTGGTTTGGGTTACACAGGTGAGGAAACGGATAAGGCTTCATATTCCTCAGGAGCAGATCGTTTTTATGATGACGATTTTGAAACTCAAATAGTAAATTTTGCTGGAGAAACTCAAGTCGTGAATCCTCTAAATGATGAGTTTGAAACTCAATTAATGAATCCTTTAAATGATGAGTTTGAAACTCAATTAATGAGTCCTATAAATGATGAGTTTGAAACTCAGTTAGTGAATCCTCTTGGAGATACTCAAGTGTTCAATGTTGCGAGTGAAACTCAAACTTTGAGTGTCTGTGGTGAAACCCAGCAACTTGATGATCCTATTCCCGATGGCATCGAGTGTATGGACTTCGACACTCAAATATTGAATGATTTTGATGATGAAATGGCTGGTGGTTCCTATGAAGACGAAGGATCAAAGGGAACTGAAATTAACGTCAACGAAGATCTAACTGATGATGAATCAGCACAAAGTTTCTATCCATCCATGGAGAAGGATAAGGTTCAATTGAGCCCTCTTAGTGAACATGATGTGAGGAAGGATTTAAAGGCGGTACCGGACAAGTTGCCTGATAAAAAATGTAATTCAGGTATTATTCTTTTGATTGTCTTGTGTTAGATAGAACTCTTTTTTGTATATTTCGACAGGAACAGAGTTCCAACAAGAAATTTGGTTTGTTTGTTTTGAGATGATAAAAGTGCCTGTTGGGATGTTTTCTGTGCAGCAAAAGATGATTGTTTCATTCAAGCAATACACTTAAAGAAATACTTTATTTTCTTACGAGAGAAGTCTATTTACGTTCTTCTTTGCAGGGCCTACACGACTTTCTTCAATACGTGCAGCTTCATTGCGTTCTTCTGGTTCAGCAGCCCGCAGTTCTGCCTTGCAGAATAGAAATCTTGGGTCATGTTCTGTTATGATTGACAAGGATATAGAAAAATCATCCGTAAAAGATAATCACATTGATCAACAGACTGATCTCGAGCAGTGCTGTGAGAATGCTGGAGAATTAGGTTACGTGAAGTGCAGAGCTGGCAGTTCAGCAGTGAGAAAACTTTTTACGAAAGACATTGTGGGGGATTTCGGAGATCTTCACTCAAGTCGTGATGTTGGCAACATGAACACACACGAGTTGACTGCATGCGATGGTGATCAGTTTGCAGGCTTAAGCTATGTTGATTCTCAAGAACCTGGGGATTTAATGCAAGATAATGCTCTTGATTTTGTCGATAAGTTTCTTAAAAACAATTCTTTGGAGTTTGATCAGGGAGGGGGTACCTGTAAATTGGATGCTATCGTGCAAACAAAGTCGGTTCTTAGCCCTAAAGGGCAATATAATCTGGCCAACATTGTTAACTGTATGAGAACAGTTGGAGAATCAAGAGTTTTTGATTGGGACGATAATCGGGAAGATGAAGGAGGTGGGGATATTTTCTGCAGAAGGAAGGAAGAGTTCTTCACTGAACCTCGAAAATCGAAAGGAAGAAGACCAGACTCGAACAGTGATAGGGGAGGATCTTTAAGTATCCCAAACATGAAATCAAGGTTATTTTGTTCTGATTCACGCCTAGAGTTGAGTAAAGGAAGCAAGAATAACGAGACAGCCCGAGAAGCCAAAGTCAAATGTAAAAAGAATCTATGCAATAAACTGGATCAGCAGAATGATGGTGATGCTTGTAGGGTAGAGTCGGAAGACGACGACATCGAGCCTAATCAGCAAGAAATCCCTGATGTAGGTTTCGATACTCAGATGGCAGCTGAGGCACTGGAAACATTATTCAATGATGAGAGCATCAATAAGCTAGTTAATAATGAAGCAAATCAACATTTGGAAAATAGTCCAAAGGATTCTTTTGGAGGCTCTCCTACTAGAAGGTCAAACACTAGCTCGAACACAAGGAAATCCTCGAAAAAGGGACGTGCTTCTAGTTCTGGGGTTGTCCCGAGGCAGTCCAAGAAAATAAACCGGAAGTTTTCTGGAAATTTCATGAAGGCGTGTGAAAATGAGACTGTAAAAATGTCAAGGAGGAATAATAAGACAGATGCTGATGGCATCATTGGTGATGGAAACACAGGCAGTGTGCCGAGCAATGTTGCTAAGGTTTCACCTGTTGCACGTCGAACTAGGCATTCAATGACAGTAAATCAATCGAAAAAGGCTAAAGTTGAATCTGGTGAATGTGAGCGGTCGGTTACAAAGGTTGGTCCATTAATCAAGAAAAGAAATCCTGATCGAGCCACTGGGGGCCCGAAGGCAAAGAGAACAAAATCTCGGGAGGCAGTTTCTAAGATACTTGTAACCAAGTCGAAAGAAGGCACTAAAAATGATGCAACAAGCTCCATGGGACAACGAAGATCGTGTGATATGTTAGCCGGTCAGGTAAGTCTGTCTGATGAGTTAGTTGGACAAACTGTAATTAGGCGCCCGAGGTCTTGTTCCACGAGGAAAACACGATCGTCATTATGTGTTATTTCATCTCTGGCTTCAAATGAGAACTTGGAAAGAGCAGGTGCAGAAAAATCTAATGATGGAAATATAACAGCTAAGGATGGATGTATGGTTTCTTCTGTTGTAAAGACTACGTCAGATGAATCTCCTAGTAAAAGACGTAAACCATCCGACACAGTTTGTTCTACTCCGCCTGATAATTGTAGGACGCCTATAAATGCCGTATCACCCGTTTGTATGGGTAACGAGTATTACAAACAATCATGCAAAAAGAGCCCCTTCAAACCAAGTCTTTTGAAAGAACTTCGTGATTTAACTGCCACGGGGCTTGTATCGGAACCCTTATCAACTGAATCGAGGAGGAGAAAAGATATGAACGATGTTCAAGTCTTGTATAGCCAGCACCTCGATGAGGACATAATCAAACAACAAAAGAAGGTTGTTTCAGACTCATACTCTTTACCTTTTCCACAAGCTGGTTTTTTCAACTTATAATTCATTATCCTTATCAATGTTCTTTCAGACGTTGACTCGCCTAGGGATTAAAGTGGCATCGTCCATGACCGAAGCAACACATTTCATAGCCGATAAATTTATTCGTACAAGGAATATGTTAGAAGCCATTGCTCTGGGTAAGCTTGTGGTGACACACCAATGGATTCAGAGTTGTGGACAGGCAAGATGCTTCATCGACGAAAAAAATTACATCCTACGAGACGCCAAAAAGGAGAAGGAATTTGGATTTAGCATGCCAGGTTCGCTGGCGAGTGCTCGTCAGCATCCTCTTCTAGAGGTGATCTCAATTTCAATGTTTCACCACGTGCTGTATTTGGCCATTACCCCTCTAGTGTTTAAAATAGTAATCTCCACAGGGTCGACGAGTGTTGATTACTCCAAATACAAAACCCGGGAAAGATGTCATTTCGAGCTTGGTCAAGGCAGTGAAGGGCCAGGTATGTTTTGCCTGAACTTTTATTTTGTATGACAACCTAACGTAAAGCGTGTTTATCATATCATTTGAAGTGCTTATAAATGATTAGACGTGTTTTTTTACGGTTTTTGTTTAGCAAGTGCTTATCGATGATTAGAAGCGTTTTTCAACCAGGAGTAAAATTTTACTTAGTGGTAAAAAGTGTTTTTACAATTTTTTTTCAATCACCAAAAGTGGTACGAGAAATTCTACGAGTAGATAAAAGACGCTTTAAAAGTGTTTTCGTAAAAAACATTTAACCAAATTTCTTCCAGAAGTAGTTGTATAATAAGTGCTTCATGTGCCATTCGCCAGGCAGTAGAGAGGCTGGGGAGGTCTATGCTGAAGGATGATCAAATTCCAGATGATTTGTTGGTTTTGTCATGTGAAGAAGATTATGATATGTGTATGCCTTTTCTTGAAAAAGGTTGGTTCGGATATATCCTTCTCATTTGGTTTATAGCATCAAGACTCTAGTGCATACGTCAGTGAGCAACAGTTAATTTTTTTTTTTAATTTATATATTTATTTATTTTTTCCTCCTCTTACTTTCTTCGAGTGACGAGGTCAGCTTATGATTTAGATCGGAGGTTTTGAACCTCTAATTTCTTGATCAAGGGTACATGCTAATTATTGAGCTACGCTCACTTTGATGGTTTTTCCCCTTTTGAAAAGTTAACCTTTTTGCTTGCAGGAGGTGCAGTGTATGGTTCCGAGCTTCTGCTTAACGGGATCGTAACTCAAAAGTTCGAGTTTGAAAGGTTGGGTTTTCTATCATTTGGTAAATTGCACATAAAAGAACAAGCTGTTACTAATTCTTAAATTTCTTTTCAGCCATCCTAAAGACCAAATAATATTTGATACTCGTTTCTTATGTTGTTGAATAATCTGTGCAGGTATCGTCTTTTCGTAGATCAAGTCAAGAGAACTCGGTCGACAATATGGCTCAAGAAAGATGGCAATAAGTTCCATCGTGTTTCTAAACATCATTAACTTTACTTGATCATATATTTTCTGTTGGGGTGTTCTCTTTCTGGTATGTGTTCTAATGTGTAAATTATAAATTATAGTTTTCATGTGCTCTATAATTTAAATTTATTTTAATGTAAATTTTAGGGTCTTAGAGAAAGAGACATGCATTACACTTTTGTATGTCATAAACTATGTAATATAACCTTATATAACTTATGTGACATTAATGTGGCAATGTTTTTAATTCTTATGTATTAAATTTATATCATCAATTTTTTTTGCTACAAGATTGGTGTTTTCTCATTTAGCTCATAAAAGTTGAAAAACCACTCAAGATTGGGCCTTCTGCTAAAAATATACAAGCCGGCACAATCAATGCTCTTATGGCCTTTTAAGTTTGAAGTCTTGTGAACGTAGAATTGCTAAGAAACACAGCAGAAATGTGCAATTTAGGTCGTGTCCTGAACACAATTTGCTATACAAAATATATAGGTCATGCAAGGGATACTCGTCTTTGAAGTTCAAGCATAATCTTCTTTCATTGTTATCCGTTGCAGCTCGAGCTCGTCCATTCATACTTAAATCTTGACTTGAATCTTCGACGATGATGGTCATTGCTTGCTAACTACCTGCATTTCGCTCTTCTTGCATTGGGATATTGCTGGTAATGTAGAAGTTTGGAAAGGAAGATTCAGAAGACGAGCTTATCATCTTCGGAACTAGGTCATACTGGGTTGGGGTTTTGTGCGACTCGAAGTCGCCACATGTAGTAATGAATGTATACAGAGTTCAGGCTCATAGCCGCACCAAACCCCAAGATTGCAGACAGCAATATGGCATATAAGATCTTCAGTTTCAGCTGCAAATAAGACCAAAAGATTGTCAATAAGATGTAAAGTTGAGGTTTCTAACTTTCCAATGCAGAAAAGAAGGAAGTCCAAATGCAGCCGGGGGGGGGGGGGGGG